CTTCACACTGTATAATTTACAGCATCCCCATATCGCTGACATGGGAATTTCCCATTGGGAAAACAAGAAGGACGCTCCGCGAGCTTGTGTTCATACACAAACTACACATTTTGCATTGTTTTTCAGTTTTTACTTCTTTAGTGCTATATGCAATGTAGAGATGTTTTCTTCGGGAAATTCGCAGAAAGGCCATCGTGGTCTCCCATGTACAAATATCATGCACAAACGACGACCAAGGCTGGGCATTTGTATTAATGAGCAGGACGCATATTTAATGGACGCTCAGTCGATTGTATGTGTGAGTTGGTTGCGATAGCTGTTGTGTGTGATGCTGTATCGAGTCGCTATATGCTTGCCTTCCAGACTCAACATCAAATATGCTTGTTGTTTACCAATACAATCGGGCAGCCTTGTGGACGACGAAAGAGTTCTCCATCCGAAATTTGAACGAAATTGGTCAAAGCGTTTAGCCTGAATATACAATTTTTATGATCGGGCAGGCCAAAAGAGACCTTAACCAACAATTTGAACTGGATAGGGTAAATTGTATATTAACCCTCTGTTTCAATCATTTCCAGAGCTGTTAGTACTGTTCATAGTTGATTTTGATTGACTGGTTCATGTAATCACACACAACCGCTAGATTTCTTGTTTTAATGCTATATTATTGGTTATTTTTAGCAAGGATACAAAATGAATGCTCGAGGTATGGTTTTGACATTTCGCCACCAATTTCGTTCGTTTGTGTAGCGAATTCCAAATATTGTATACAGATATACATACTGGCGTATTTGCTACACAAATGAACGAAAATTTGTGTTAAAATTTGAAAACACCAACAGTGTAGCTGTAAAACACACCACCAGGCCGCTGTGTGCACTCGAATTATATGACTTAGATACGAACGCATTCGCAGTATTCGCAAAGGTCAACGCCCCTAGGTTTGACCTATTCCAATGCCATATGTTCTGTGCTCGGTTCTATGTATTTAATCTTTTTTGAAAAACATTTGCATGAAAACATTATCTACCGACGCGTTCAATGCCTAGCTGAGAGTGTGAATATCATTCACTATGTTGTTTGAATGCCATCAATTGTTGAAGAATTTTTCCAACTTACCGGATAAATTGATTTACAATAAATAAAAAAAAGTAATGTATTATGCATATTAATCACATCGAACTATACGAATTTATAATTATAAATTAAATAATAATGAATACAACATCAAACAACCAGACATAAGGTTTTTTAGAATAAATTTCATATAGTCTCACGGAGACGCGAGATGACGTTAGAGCGTCCTACACGACTATCGCTACGATTTTTGCTTCGTTTGTGTTGGTTATACAATACGACCACCGATTATGTCGCACGTCGTTTAAGTCGTGCATATAAAGTTCGTTACAACGACTACTGAGATCATATTCGGCTTTTGTCATGAACGCATGTAGTCAATACATTATAAAGTACAACGAACACAAACGAAGCAAAAATCGTGGCAGTAGTCGTGTACGACGCGCCAAAGTCGTCTCGCGTCTATATGAGGTATTTAAAAAATGGTTCAAGACAAAAAAGAAATCAAAATCGAAAATCACACATACACACACAGTGAGAGAGAGAGAGAGAGAGAGAGAGAGAGAGAGAGAAAGAGAGAGAGAAAGAGAGAGAGAGAAACTGTACATCGACCAAAGCACGGAATTGGCAAGCAACGACGATTTTGATGCTGCTGAAGCAGTTGTCAGCAGAAATAAAATATATGTGGCTTTTTATATAGCACAGTATTCAGGTGTCCAAATTAATACGACTTATGTTGTCCAACTGTCATTATTACCGTGCTCTGACATCCACTAGACCAAATTCGAGTTAATGTAAAAACTGTCCCGAATTACACTTATACAGGACACCCATAGAATGAAAGAACAACTTATGAGCTCTAGTTCTATAACCGAGACGGAAGCTAAAACTTAGAGCAAAAAGTGACACAACTCACAAAAAGAAATTGACACCGGTTTGGCGCTGGTTTGCTGCTTTCACACCACACTACACACAGTGTGCTAAAATGTACGAGCGGTCCAGCGGCAGCATACGGTGTATTGGTGTGTTTTCGGCAGCAGTATTTTTCACTGATGCTACACTCACACAAATAAACCGTATGCCGCCGCTGTGCCGCTCACACACTTCAGCATACTGTGTGTAGTGTGGTGTGAAAGCAGCAAACCAGCGCTAAACCAGTGTCAATTTCTTTTTGGGCTCAACATTGAGCGGAAAAGACGTTTATTTTACATTTTTTCGCTGCTGCAAAGAAATAGCGACTAGGTGTCTTCGACATTATTATAGAAAATAAAAAGAAATACAAATAAGCCGATTGTCTCACCAGTAAAGGTCCCTCGTTTACACTCTTTTTTTTCGAAACTCCGGTTGGGTTAGTTAGTTGGGGTCAAATCATGACGAATGACACCGATTATTTATTCCCGAAATTCTTTGGGGGTAGTTTTAGGGGGGTTGAAAGTTCGAAACCCCCAACGTTCCGGAGGCCATAGCTTCTAAACGCGTGGGAATATCTAAAAAGTCTTCGGCAATGTTGTAGATCTAGTCGAAATTTAAAACTTTGCCGAACAAATCATTTCCAAAAAACCACCTCTTCAGCTCTAAAAGCTACCCCAAATTTTTTTTAGCCTCTTTACAATCTAAGGGGGTGGTTTTTTGGGGTTGAAGTGTTCAGCAATATTGTTCATTTCGATAAGATCTACAACTTTTCCGAAGACACTTTTCCAAAATTTTCAGTCATTTGGAAATTATGAATTCGAGGAAAAGCCGCATTTTCTAATACATAACCGACCACATAATTCAGTTATAGAACAAGAGCTCATAAGTTGTTCTTTTGCTTTATCGGTGTAACATGTACCGTTATTTGGAACAGGCTATCTGATTTATTGCATTTACGCATCAGGGAGTAAAATAAGCGATATTTTGAGCAGTTATAAAGTTGGTTTTGGACAGTCCAAAAAACACCGATTTCAAATCATTGGCACAGTACAAAAATCCAAATTATAATCAATTTCAATATTCTTAACGATCAAATTAAAAAATTTCTCGCTGAACGCACTCAATTACACTGTAGTAACATTTACAGCTTTTGAAATGAACGATTCTACACATTAATTTCAGATTTTAACAGGGGACGAGTGTAGTTGAACCACATATTTCGTTTTGATAAGTTGGTGGATTAGTATCAAGAACGACCCTTTTATAACGGTTTATCAGTGATGTTGAAAAAAATGGTCGAAAGAGGCCCCTTACGACATTTTTGTCTTCGACAACTTCCATTTTTTCGTCAAAAAAATATGGGTCTCTGAACACTTGAACACCGATTTTCCTACAAGTTTGGTCAAAAATTCACATTTCTTCATAAAATAATCGATTGAATGAAAGAATGATACAAAATCACACTTATGGCATAGAAAACACTCATACAATGACCTACTATGGGTCTATATCCATTATCCACCCAATTTTTGACAAAAAATCGATTTGTAGTATCAATTTACACAAGTTTATATTATTTTAGTGTCGAAAAATGCGATTGTTTCAAACTAAATGAGCGAATGACGCTCAAGAGCTTCAGTTCAATGGTTAAATCACCCCATGGAGCCAACATTTCTGCCTTTACTACCTTTGAACTTCTAGTATGATCCCTCACGAACATTTTGAGTACCGACATGACCAAGTCGAGTGATGTTTTCATATATTTCTAGCCTCATATTCCGTTGGTTCGATTACAACTCTCAAAAAATCGACATTTCATCGAAAAATCCTCAAATATACACTTTTTATGGTTAGTGTCTTGGCAAAAAGTTATTTTTTCTCAAAAATAATGGGAGTCTTCTCTGTCAAAAACTTTGAAAAATGCATATTTGGGGTAACCCCCGAACAAAAGTTACGTTTTTCATGGCAAATTATCATTTTTTGTTCGGGAGGTACCCCAAAAATCATTCTTAAGTGCTTCTGTATGAGTAGATTTCCAATATTTCTCGAGAAAAATAACATTTTACCAAGAAACTTATCCAAAAAGTGTATTTTTGGGGCACCTCCCGAACAAAAAATGATAATTTGCCATGAAAAACGTAACTTGAATTTTTCTCAAATGTTGTTCCAATTTTTTCCTCATTTTACTCTCTGTTACGCATATTGCAATGTTTTAAACTCATACATGAATAAAAAAATAACTTATACATTTCAACATTAGTTGAAAATTTCAAAAATTGCTCTCAAATGATTCCAGGTCGTTGGATATCTCAAATTTTCGAGAAAAGAAACAACACTTGCCTTATCCGAGAATAGACTCGAAGACGTATTGATCCGTAAATTTCATATCTGTGCTCGTCTCGGTGTATGTCGATATGTGAATATAATACACCAAAAGAGGAAACATATATGCGTACATCAGCGACTATTATTATAAATTTGGTGGCCCACTGTTGCAAATCTATGCAATTGGTTGAATCTATCCTTTGTCAAACAAAAAAAAAAACAAAATCGAATCAATGAAATGCAACAAAAACTATTTAAAGCAAATTTGTAAAAACATGTTTTAGTCAATATAATCAAAAAAATGAACTGATGAATAAAAAATTAATACCATTATTACAATAAATGAGAGATGGGGGAACCAACAATAAAAATATGTAGATGATAAATTGTGGTTTTTTTATTGTTTCAACTACCTAATGCGGAAAATACGGACATCGTAAGTAGAATAATTCATATCACAGTGATTTCAAGAGAAAAAATCGGTGTTTTGTAAAAGTTTCAATTTTTTTTATTTAAAAAAGAAAAAATTCCAAATTATTGTGATTACAATTTAAATCACAAATTTATTCCTGTTACTAATTTTTATAAGATAAAAATACACATAAAACATATGATTTATTTCTGATATTTGGTGTATGCCTTCTGCAAAAACTAGAGAAAATATAATGATCAAAACACGGAACGAAAATGGTCAAAAACACAACAAAATTTTAATATTACCTTTTTACACGTTTTTTTTTTTTTTCATTTTGAATCTATATATCTTGTATTTTGTTTATTTAAGAAATAAAATTGACTATACATCTCATTGATAGAACTAGACGAGAAAAAGACAAGCCAATGACTCATGTTGATCGCATGAAAGAGTACTACAAAAATAGTATTGAAATTCATATATACAGATTTGTTTCTGTTAAACATATGATTGGATATTTTCACTTGATATCGGAGCGAAAGTTCCAGAAAAAAAAAACATTTACATAATAAAAAACATTTGGATAATAAATAATGACATACTCAATGAAGCAGAGGACTTGTCGGCACACGCGTAGATGTACCATTTCACTTGATTTAGCAATTCGTTAGTTGCCGAAACATCGTATATGCGTTTTACTCGATTTATCACGTGAAATCCCAATACTTGATTAGCCGAAGTATGATTTCGTTTGCGGCGCCATGCTTACGCTATGTATTATAGGCGCCGCAAACGAAATAATACTTCGGCTAACCTACACACACAATAGTATGGAGTTTACTTTTGTACTAAAGTGTCATAACCAATACATTCAAATATAGTTGACATATACGAATGGAATAAAGTTCATCGCAAAAGCACATGTCAGCACCAACAAATATACACAAATGAGATGACATTTATCCCATTCGTATATGTCAACTATATTTGAATGTATTGGTTATGACACTTTAGTATAAAAGTGAACTCCATACTATTGTGTGTGTGTGTAATATTAGGATTTCACGTGATAAATCGAGTAAAATGCATATACGATGTTTCGGCATCTAACGAATTGCTAAATCAAGTGAAATACTACATCTACGCGTGTGCCGACAATTTCTCTGCTTCATTGAGTAAAGATGTGTGTACACACTGTGTAGACTCCTTGGATTTTTTGAATTTGCAACTCATGCGATTCATTTTTTGAATGAATATATGAGCCACCGCCATCCCAGAAAGCGGATATAAGTGAGCGAAAATTTACACAATTCATTGTATTCATTGATGATGTTAAAAAAGTCTTAAATGTTTGAAACGTCAAAAGCTGATTTTCTTCACTCTGATTTCATTACTCTTCTTCTAGAAAGAAAAAGTTATTAAAAATTGAACGAAGTGTTCGAAGGGGGTCCTTTTTTCAATTGGCTAAGTTTGCACGATTGTTTCCAGTTGTTTTTTTTTTCTATCATTTTATGACCGAAAACAGTATCGAAATCGTCTTTCGGCTAAACATATAAAACGAATGACGAGAATTAAAATAGAGAATGAAAGACTGAATGGCTTCATGCATTTGATCATTTACGCTAATGGTTTTGTGTATAAAATTTCTTATTTACGCAACATGTTGTATTTATATGAATTCGAAATCATTGTTTCATTTTGTTGCGAGAAAAATTCGTCATTATTCATTTTGTTTTTTCTCCGTCTCTCTCTCTCTCTCTCTCTCTCTCTCTCTCTCTTTCTCTCTCCCTCTCCCTCTCTTTTGAACATGTAAAAACTAAATTTATATTAAAATATTAAAATACAAGTGTAAAATATGTGTAGTTCTACAAAAAAAAGTTTATGCCTGTTCATCAACCAGCAGCATAATTTGTTGTGTGGCTTCATTTGGATCACGTGTTGTACATTCAACCTGATGCGCATTCCAGTCCTTTCGTTGGCAAAATGTTGAACAATATGGCGTTCGTCGACACAATGAGCATTCGGCCATTGCTTCGCGATTACAATTGGCGCACTAATTCATAATAACAAAAACGAAATTATTATAATTAATGCACACAAAGTGTTTTATGTATACATTGTGATCAATTGCGATGTGTACCTTTTTTGTAGTGGGTATCTCAACACCCGGCATTTGATGAACATTATTTGGATCATCAATATCGGCATGCACACGAGCAGCCATCAAGGCTGCATCACGTTCTCGTTGCAATCGCTCGATTTGGCGTGCGTGCGCCTCTTTTACTTCCGATATACATCGACGAAATTCGTTTGTTGCTTTGGTCATTTGGGCACATATGGTTTTTAAGCGATCGTAAGGTATACTAGATTCAGCAAGAACTGAGAAGAAAAAAACAGTATCAAACTATTTTTATATGACATATTCATTGAAAGCAATTCATTTGACTCACTTTGTGACGACGAGTCAATGTATTCACTAGTGCCGTCTATTCCATCAGTAATAGATTCCCACGTCGTTTCTTCTTTGGTCACGATGCCTTGCTCGTGTTCGCCTTCTTCTTCGCTTTGTTTCTTCTGTTTGGCTTGTACATTATTTGGCGACTGTTCCATATTCGGCAGATTTCGTCTTCGACGTTTATACGGTGTAAATAGGCGTACTGGTCCCGAGGCAGCTGAACAAATTGAATTAAACATTTTAAAATATTTCAATTGTTGTAAAAAAAACCTATTGTCATTTGGTAATAATACTAACTCGAGTCATCGTCGCAACACGCAGGGCTGCAAAATAATTCAATTCCAAAATTCATAATTCATTTTAAATTTCAATAAATTATATAGTATTTTTCGGTCAAACATATTTAAATGACAAGGAAATTTCGTATTACATACCAAGTACAGCTCGTTGCATGCGGTGTGATGATACTTTCATCAATTAGAGCCTAACAAAATATCAACGTATGATGAATTTAGCAAAATGCATCAAATGAATGTTTCATTCAAAAAATACCTGTAAACTTCGGCCTCCAAAGCGAATCGACCGCTTCCAGTCTTTACTTGAACCTCGACCACATAAGTTTTCAAATTCACTAGGCGTAAACCATTGATCCTTGTATTTTATGCAACGTCCCCGGCCACCCGAACCCAACCTTGACTTGTATAATTCAGCGGTGGTTGTTTTACATCTCACCGGCAGCACTTCTAGGTTCATCGTGTCATTCCAATTGGTAGTTGACGTTTGAGACGTTTGTTGCTGTTGTGGTTGTTTTTGTTGCTAAAATGAAAAAAAAAAATAATATGAGTCTTTGATGCTTAACGATGACAAAGTTGCTTCACACTCTAATTCAAATAGAACATATCATTTGAAGGCAACACCCTTTAAGCATCCAAAACATGCTTGAACTCATCAAAATCTGATCTCATTTTGTTTCTTTTCCCGTTGAATTGGGTTAACTTTTAGGTGTTGTAACATGGCAAAGCAAGAATGATAGGAGCTAAGTTGACTTACCTGCTGGTGTTGTTCCGATTGGGTCTGCGGAGGTGGTTGCTGATCAACAATTGAAGCCGTCTGAAAACATGTATAATGATTATTCACGCAATTTTTGAAGGCTTCAATTCACCTGTTGGGTCTGCTGCTGCTGTATGACAATATGTGTGGGTTTCAGGTCCCCGACATCTCCGACCACATTACCAGATATGAAACCATTGCTGTCGACGCTGAATAATCGAAAAAAAAAATTCTTAGTGATAATGTACTAAATGAGTAAATTCCATCAGTTTACCATAGCATCTGCTTGAAATGTGGCAATTGATCCGGTGTAATGACATTGAAAGTAGTTCCTAGTAATGGTAATGAGACGGGCACTGATACGACTGTTCCACTTTCGGTGGTGGCAGCGACCAAACGTGTCGTCGTTCGTTGATTTTGACCACCCTGTTTTACAGACATAAATTTGGTTTTGTTTTGGTTTTCTTTTTGGCAATCTTATACTCGAAAGTTGTGGCAGTTTGGCTTCACTATCTCTTTTGTGGACGATTCTCCCGCTTAATTTATGAATTGATTATGGTTTGTTTTTTTTTTCGTGATTTCTTTACTCTCTGGACGTACGAATATAAATACTTTGTATAATAGTTAGTTATTTATCCTGTTGGTCTTTGTCTTGGCGTTCACCGTTTAGTATTTTGTATTCTGTGTTCTTCTTTTTTTTTGTTTTGCTTTTGTTATGTGCGATTCATATACATATGCGTTCTTAATCCATCACATTGTATTGTATGACTTCGTGATTTCGATGTCAATCTGATATGTATGTTATTTTGTTTCGCTTAATTTCGCTCTTTCTTTATGTGTTTTCAATGGTTTGTTATGAAATGAAAAATAAGACAAAATTGTATTGCATTTACGCATTCTCAAAAAATTATGGAGTTTTCATTTTTTATGCTGTTGCTTCTTTTTGTTTTTTTTTCTTTTAAATTAAGCATTTCATACACGAAAAAAATTATGTGCTGCGTTGTCGACACAAACAAATTTATGTTTATGTTGGCTCTCTATTATTTACGATCTTGGCAATATGAAAATACACTCGCAAACTACCCGACGCTACTCGAGGTCGCTGTCTTTGTCAACGAACAATTCACTTTCTTGAAACCAATTGCAGTCGGACTTTATCAATGATGTTTGACAAGACAAGGTGAAACGAAAAAAAGTGAAAAATACAAATTTTTACCGCGATCTCCAACAAGCGTTTACGTATAACCTAAAAAATATTTTATCCAATACAATCAAAGAGGAAAAAAACAAAACGTAAACACTAATCAATACAGCCAACGTAGCCAGTCGCCAATTCTAAGTGTTGTTCGCACGGATGCGATATACACAAGCGCTGCTGCGATTGGACGCGAATGTATTGGTGAATGAACCGCGCGGAGACTGAAACTGTGTATATACAATATACATACATACAAAATAAGAAAACAGAGACGAATGAGAAACCGAAAACTCATACGGATAAATTAGTATGGTAAAGGCAATTTGGCTGTTGCTACTTCTGACATTTGCACTGATTCGCACTGAAGAGATGCGACAGTATGAGTTTGAAATGTTATGACTGTCAGTATTTGCGATTACGTGTGTTTTCTACACACTATACATGTCTGCATGTGTGAATATGAATGTGCAGTGTGTGTATGTACAGAATGACGAAAAATGTGATTCGTTCGTTCATTCTGTACACCATGAGCATTCCTCATTTTCGAAGATCTTGACGAAAGACAAAATTTATTTTATTCTCAAATAGAATGTTTGCGTAAATAAGTCATGAGCATTTTTTTTTATTAGACGATAAAAGTGTCATAATTTTGGTTTCTTTTTTTCAAATTTTCGTTACGAATGAAAAAAAGAAGTGAAAAGGAAACATTGAACGACGACAGCAAATATAAGTTCAAACATGAACCGAAAAGTGCAAATGAATTTTCGGTTTGGTTGTGTTTACCTGATCGCCATTTTCATGGTTGCTTTCGTCGGCTGTTCCAAGATGTTCGGCAATGTCCGGTAATACGATGCTGCTTGTTATGTCCGACTGGTTTTCATCCATGATCGTCGTCGAACCGACGATATATAAATGTCAACACACCGTATAATAATTAATACTCTTCGATTACGGCTTAATCGGTAATATTATCTTTTGAATGATTCGCAGCGACGATGAAGAATTTGATATTCTGCACCGTTTTTCTCTTTGGTTTTGAATGGAATTTTCTTTTTCGTCGGTATATACGACCTCCTAGTTGCACTCAACACCACACTATCGTAAGGCCCACATACATTTTCCCGCTGTCTTCGTTATATTTTGTTCATTGTGTAGCATGCATCTAGTGCCACATTGACATTTGGTTATGATTATTTCAATAGGTGGCTGTACTAGTATATGTGCACAAAGACAACCAAACACTTATTTCACCATTTAGTCTATGTCACCCTCGCTCTCTCTCTTTCGCATATTCATTTTGACTATTCTATCGCCATTTCATTATTATTGGCTCTGACCTGATGGTATTTGTGTGATGAGCCTGCGCCCAACCATTCAAAATATTGTAATTCTGACATTTTTTTTTGCATCACATTTGGAAAAAACTAAGAAAATTCCAAATACTCATGAAAATGGCGCAGACTATAAAGAAACATTAGAAGAAAAAAAACGAAAGTTGTTTTTTTCTTTTCCACTAAATTTTTTTCAATACAGTGAAATATTTAGATTAAAATCATATTTTGTTGTTGTTGCAGCAAGTTCTACTATAAATAGCATAGGTGAATGGCGATAAGAATACATCATTAGGTTTTTTTGTTTTGAATAGCACAACTAGCAACCAATCTATAATGTACACCAAATCGCAGTTGAAATCTTATCCATCAAACGTGACTTCTCACTCTAAGACTGTCTATCATAAACTGACTGATGTACTGACTTATACTGGCGCTCAGAATCAAATATCAGCGGACTAACAAATTAAATACTGAATAATTGAAGCTAACTGCTGATATTCCAATCATTATTCTGTTTTCAGCATTTTGTTCTTACCTGGTTTTATTCAAAACATTAGTAAAATAAAAATTTCATCACATTATTTAAAAAATCTGATTGTTGGAGTATATTGGCTGGTATTATTGCCTTGAACGAGCAAATTTAAAAGTTTTCAAGTATTCAAGTTTTTAATTTGAAATAAAAAATAATAGATAAAGATTACCATTTAGCAGCGAATCTCGCACGTTGTCATCCTTCTTCATTTCACACAGTCGCAGTACAATATTTATGATTTTAAACAAATTAAGACACACTTTTGTATCGATATCAATACCAATGAACGATTTATTGTAAATGTCTTTAAAACAAACGAAGTGCTTACATATGAAGGTACATTTTAAAAAAATCCAATGGAAAACCCCGTTTGGAAAAGTGAAATCGATAGTGAATTAACGTCTTTTTTGTATTCGCATAGAATCTTTTATACCAATGAAATTATTATTTTTAAAAATATGGGCGCGAGAGTATCGCTTACAAATTAGCAGATGTTTTGAGCTTAAGGTTTGTTGCGATGCGGATTCCCAATTCGCTGCTAGCTTGGGAGAAGTTCTTGACCGCACGCTCTTGAATGAATTGCGATGCACCGGCCAAATGCCCCGAAATATTGTTGGCCAGACGGAGTTTTTCTTCGGCATTCAACACTTTACTGTAAAAAATTCCAGCTTGACTGAAGTTATCTTCATGAGCAGTGCTTATGCGATAAACGTCACCGCTAACTCGCTCTGGTGGATTGAGCTTACGTGCGCGTTCGCATTCGGTTGGTCCACCAAACGAATTCGGGAAATAATTCGGTGCACCGCCCTGGTTATCGGTGAAGCACATGGAACCATCACGTTGATAATTTTTGGTCGACACACGATATGGGCAATTAACTGGCAATTGCAAATGATTTGGTCCCAAACGATGGCGATGTGTATCAGAGTAAGAGAACAAACGACCTAAAATTGAAAAACAAATACAGAGAGGGAGTATTTAAAGAGTACTACTGATAACGTACAAGTTCTACTGATCACATTTTACCTTGCAACATCTTGTCTGGTGATGGCTCAATGCCTGGTACCAGATTAGCCGGACTGAAGGCAATTTGTTCCACTTCAGCAAAGTAATTGTTTGGATTGCGATCCAAAACCAATTTGCCGACTGGAATCAATGGATAATCGCTTTGTGGCCAAACCTTGGTCACATCAAATGGATTGAATGAAGCTTTTTCGGCCTCAGTGTAGCTCATCACCTGAATGTGGAAAGTCCATGTTGGATAGTCACCCTTAGCAATAGCATTGTATAAATCGCGGATACTGTAATCTGGATCACTTGCAGATAAATCGTTAGCACGATCAACTGGCAAATTTTTGATCTTTTGATCGGTTTTGTAGTGGAATTTACAGTAGGTTGGTTCACCTTTATCATTAATCAATTTGAATGTGTGTGAACCATATCCATTCATATGACGATAGCCATCTGGAATACCACGGTCGGAGAATAAGAACATGACCTGGTGAGTAGTTTCTGGGCGCAAGGAAATAAAATCCCAGAACATGTCCGGATCTTTCAAGTGAGTAGTTGGATTACGTTTTTGTGTATGAATGAAACTTGGGAATAGAATTGGGTCACGAATAAAAAATATCGGCGTGTTGTTGCCAACCAAATCCCAAATACCATCCTCAGTATAGAATTTCACGGCAAAACCACGGGGATCACGTACAGTATCTGCTGATCCACTCTCACCACCGACCGTAGAGAACCGAACTGCAATCGGCGTTTTTTTGCCGACAGCGCCAAACACCTTGGCCGCTGAATACTTCTGAATATCTGGGTGGGTCACTTCAAAGTAACCAAAAGCACCGGCTCCTTTGGCGTGAACGACCCGTTCCGGAATACGTTCACGATCAAAATGCGATATTTCATCCAAGAAATTGACATCTTGAAGAAGGAGCGGTCCACGGTGTCCCACCGATTGGGTAGCATCTTTCACGCCAATTGGTGCGCCAGTAGCAGTAGTAACGATGGACTCATCCTAATGAAACAAAAGCAAACCAAGTTATTTCAAATCGAAAGTAGTTTAGAAATAGAAAAGGTCAAAAAGTATGTTTCAGTGATAGCAGCCTACTTTACAAGGAAAAAAAATCGAGGATTTTAAAAACCATTTCATGCCTTCTATGCGTCAAAAATTCCAAAATTTGTACACACACAAAAGTAAATTGTCAAAAGTAGTTGAACGTCATCGCAAGTCGGGATAAAATATACGTTTGAATGGTGTTGACATATACAAGTTCGATGAAATTTATCCCAAAAGTGGATGTCAGCACCTATAAATGTATGGTTTGTCCCGACTTGCGATAAAGTTTAACTACTTGCTTTTGTGTGTGTAGGAACAAAAATCTTCCGTAATCACTAATCAACCAACGTATTAATTAGTTTGCCCTGGTTAAATAAAGTCGAAGGGTGATAACAGTGATATGATCGGCACATGAGCACCATTTCTACTGATTGCCATTATTGCAATGTAAATGAATAGAATGTCTACTCCTTCTTCTTCTTTTTCTCAACATCAATTGCATACGACTTATGTTAACTCTCCGTTATCATTAGAGGTGGCGCTACTTATGCGCATTAATTGCATTGGCTCTTATGATCGAGGGGCAAATCACTCTAAAGTAATTTGTAATAGAGAAAGTAATTTACGTGTAAAAATCTCGATTACTTTTAAAAGCCAATTTTCAGCCAATTCGGCGACCTCACATTGCAACTCTTCCCTGATTTCGTGTGGAATGGCCGATAGATATAGTCAAAATAATATAGGGTAATAACAAAAAACGTCAAAATATAGCTGAAATATTCCTTAAATGTATCAAATATTCCAATTCCTGTCATTATATGGGAATATTGGATGGAAACCTACTAACGTCATATTTTAGACGTATTTCTTTGTTTGATTCAAAGTTTTTTTCGTCTGTGATGTTTTCTTATTTTTAGACATATTTAGTTTTAAAAATGTCACAACCACAGTGCCGAAAAATCCAAAGAATTAGATGAATAATTATCGTCCATTTTCTTGTCAACGAGACATAATTCAATAAAAATCGAATAACCATTCAAAATATAATGTTAGTTTATCATTTTCTCACTTAATTTTAAGATTTTTCGACGTGGGACATTTAACCCGACAAATTTTTTTTCAGCCGATTTTGAGAGGTTTAGAAAATTTGATTTCAATTTTTTTTTGGATCGGTATCGAAGGACTAACAAAGGCAAAAAGTTTCCTTTTGACATCCTCTTTCCAATGGAAGTTTCATATTTGAAAAATATCCACACATAAATTTTTTATGGACGTACATCCTAGTGTGGGCCAAATAACCCGACAGTCCCTTATGTAAATAATCATTTTGAAATAAAAAAGTCATTGATTTTTTATTTAACTTTTTCTTCTTTTACAATAAAGTTATCTCTTTGCTCTCATCTCTTTCTTGCACTAAATGCTTCAATTGTGTTTTTTTAGCCAACATAATAATAAGTGTATGGTGCACGTGAAGAACATATATTTTGAAGAAGAATGTGAGCCGGACCGGTTTTCTCAAATGATCAAATGCAGGACACCTTGAAGAATGAAGATGCCTTTTGAAACAATGTGATCCGACAACGGATATGAAACGACAACAACAACAACAACAACAATTTTTTCAATGTTTACATAAAACGAGCTCTACTTACATGACGTTTGTGGTGATTGTTGAAAATTTCGATCACATTAACGTATGCACGCCTGATAATCAAATAGCCATTCGCGCAGCTCTTCGAGCTGATAAAATATGATTTTATATAGATCCGAGCCCCTAGATCATGTCAATGGACACAACAACGCAAGATAACAACGCATCCATTTCCATTAAGACTTATTATAATTTGTTCGCGCGGAATTTGAAAACAATGAAAAATGAATGGGTGCGTTCAATATTATGCACTATACTAGCGATAGTCGAGTTTAGCTGACAAAAATTACAGCTATCGAACTTTCTCTTTGAAACTTAAATGCTCATGAGAGAATGTGTGAATCATCGAATCCGATGTGAGACACTATATATAGTGTGTTTCAAAATTTTGGCAATTATGTACATGTACAAAACGTCTCAATAAATTCTCAAAACTCAAGTTCATTCGATTTTGATTGGAGTTTTGCAAATTTTTCCACATCAGCATGCTGCAGCAATAATGTCTTTTATTGGCTTTTTTACCATATCACAAAAACCATTGGCACATGAAGTACTCGAATTATGGTTATTTTTCACGATCTTCGCACCCGGTCCATCTTCAGATCCGAAGTTATTTTGGGTATTGAAAAATAGACCATGCCCAGATTACGCCCGGGTTAAACGATAGATCGGGTCAAAATACCATGAAAAATAACCATAATAAGTGGCACATTACCAATCTCTGTGAAAACATCACACATTATTCCTTTGTATAAAAAGGGATCAAAAGAAAATGTCGGAAATTATCGGAGTATTGCCTTACTACCATCATTACTGAAATTGTTCGAGAAAATAATGCACAATAAAATAATGTCCCACTTCAGGAACCATATAAGCGATTGCCAATACGGATTTGTCCCTGGCAAATCAATAAACACAAACCTCATGGAACTAGTAACATTTTCAAATGAAGCATTCGCTGAGAAATGTCAAGTTGATATTTTATACACTGACTTCACTAAAGCATTCGACAAAGTCGATCATGCAATTTTGTTGAGAAATATGACCGACATGCAGTTTGACCCAGGCATAATTAAATGGATAGCTTCATATTTGAATGCGAGATCAATGAGAGTGAAAATAAATAACAGCCTCTCCAATGATTATTTAATGCACACAGGTGTCCCAGCTGGTAGCATCTTAGGCCCTGTTATGTTTTTGATTTACATTAATGATTTTACCGACCATATTTGAGAAATATATCAAGATTCTATTGTTTGCTGACGACTGTAGAGTAGCAATGAAGATAAAAAGCAATGAAGACCTAGTTTTGTTTCAATTGGAAATCAACAAATTACTGAAATGGTGTAAAGACAATAAATTGGAGCTAAATATTTTGAAATGTGCTGTTCTCACTATGAGTAGAAGTGATGGGAAATTTATCGGACAATATAAAATGAGTGATGTATTACTGAACAGAGTTCATGACTTTCGGGATTTGGGTATAAGAATCGATGAACGGCTAACATTTAAGAAACACATTGAATCATTAGTTGCCACGTGTAACTCCACAATGGGATTCATAAAACGCACAGCGGGAAAAAAATTCGACGTTGACACTCTGGTTGTTCTATTTAACTCATTCGTAAAAAGTAAACTATTGTTTGGTATCGCTATTTGGTATCCTTCCACGGCCACAGATAAAGACTTTATTGAGGGAATTCAGAAAAGATTTACTATGATGGCACTCAAAGAATATCCCAATGCAAATAATAATTACACAATTCGTCCCTATGATGACCGTTGCTCAGAACTAAATATTGACTCGATTCACAGTAGATATGTATGTTCATATATGATTTATTGCATGATAATTTAGAATCAAAATTTTTAAAATCGAAACTAGTGTGGAACAACAATAGGCCAACACGTAACACAGAATTATTAAAACTATCGACGTACACAAGCGATTACTTGAAAAATCAGTCCTTTTGGTCAGCAGTTAGACATTTTAATGAAAGTTAATTTCAATATATGAACAATAATGAAAGAAACAAATATGTGAAAGCAATTAATGATAAGCGATTATTGTAAAAGGGTCTGTACTAGATCAATAAATAAATAAATAAATAATTGAACTGTATATGGACCGTTATTTGTGCATATTTATCGTTAAAAAATGTTTATTGGGCAGTTGCTGGGTAGCGCATTACGATGTTTATATCTTGTTTGAGTTTTATAGCCAATGATTATATCGCTTTAATTTATTGGCTCACAATATTCACTTTCATATCCACGCATTCAATGCAATTTAAACACTGCTTTTATGGCGCATTTCCGATGCGTGCGATTACAACTATTGCATACCGAGAGATGTGCCCTTATGATTAGGTTGGAAAAGCACCATACACTAAAACTTGATTCGAAACTAACAGCTGTGCCCCAAAAATATAAGAGTTTGAATTGTCAACTCACTGATGATGGAATCATTGCTTCTGAAATGTAAACATATGAGTAATTCTCAATAAAGTGTATTATTTGTTGGAACCAACAATTATTCATCATAAAATACACGTTAAATCCCCAGAATTATTATCTATTTAAATAGCCTATCTTTGGTAGATGGCGCTAATATGCTGCTTTAATCATTTGTATTGATTCTTATTAACAATGCGCGCCTCTCGTTGCATACTGTAAGGTGTACATTTCAGACTTGAAATTATCACCATCATCATCATCTTACTATTTGCGGCAATTCACGTATCGGCTTAGAAAATTAAAGAATAATCATCGCTTAGTGGACTGTCAAGACGATGATGATAAAAAAAAGTAATAGCGATAAGATAAGTATGAGATATTGCATCTTGCTTAATTATTCCAATTCCATTTTCATTTGACTTGTCAAATGTAATTTTGAGGAGTCTTCTGCAGCTCATATACTTGATGTACGGAAAATATCCTCCACGTCGAAGTTGTGTGCGTAGTATAATGTATATACTAGCGAGAGAGCAGTGCAGCACATTATACTGCTATCATTCTAACACACACTGTAACCACAAAGCCTAGAGCGAATTGAACCGAAATTAAATCAACCAACAATGGTGAAAATTATAAACCACAGAGTGATGTAAATCGAAATAACCAAATATGATTTACAGATCTACGCCGCAATTTTGAATAGAATTTGGTTTGGTTTATCAGACCGAATGAAACTCAAAATAAATAACACTCGGGCAAGAAAATAATATAAAAAATGCATGAAGAGTTATCAAAATACTGATAAGCTTGCTTACGAATACCGACTGCAAGACATTCAATTCTATTTGTGTATATTCAAGAGTGAAAAGAACATTGGCTCATTTTTATTGGTTTTAGCAATGATATTGGCGAAATTTTGTTTATCTTCCTAGTATAAGCTATAGCTATTTCAATATATTGAAAAGTTCGATCTATTAATAGTAATAGATCATGCTTTTACACGCAAATTTGTGTTTTAGTTCGTAAAAAATCTCGATGGGCTATGATTGACTGCCATTGTAAATTTTGAATGAATATATATCGTTATATGCGTTGATCAGCTGTAAAAAAAAAATCTTATTCTCCCGGTAAATTTATAATTTGTGATCGTGTTTCCCCTTCTGATGTGCCTCTCATCAATACAAAAGAGAAAAATAATTGAATTCTTTTTGATGTCTTTGAATTGAAATACGTTCCATGGGTATACAAATTCTGCAAATGTTACCTATTTTATTCCATTCTTTTGGAATTTTTCGTCCATTCATTAGTCGCTTTTTGCGTTTTAGATTGACGCTTGTTATTTTCGCACAATGTCATTGAGGTTAACTTGATTTTATTCCTTATTAAGTTTTATTCTTTGTTGCGCATTCATTTGTGTAGTATGCCCGCAAAAATGTGTCCAATAGTACTATATAGCAACTTCAGAAGGCCAAATGTGGACGAAAGAATGGCTTTAGGAACAATAGGCTTAAAGAAAACGCAAATTTACGATGTATGAATATACATTATTGATTTAGTCGTGCATGTGATTTGGATCGATTTTTTCCCATATTATTAATAAAGGAGCATGTTGCGTTGCATATTGTTTCATCGTCAAACTCTAATAATCATAATAAATGCTACTTCATTTAGCACTATGTGAATTTTTAATTAAAATATAGATAAATTTCCGTTTATTATATAGTTGTGATAAGATTTCGATTCCTTTCTAATTGTTATGGCGTGTAATTACGTGATGTTTTCATGCCAAAATAAAAAACAACAGCCACCTGAATTTTTCTCTCGTAAATTAAAAAATTCTACTTCTTTTTCAAGTATAACGCTTTGTTGGAGGATACAGTTGCCAAAAATGCATTTGTAGAGAATAGCTCTAGTTTGTTTTATTAACATTTATTCAGGTTTGCAGTCAGGTTATATATACGTTGAATAACCAATCACGCGCACATTTACTTTTCGGTTGGAATTTAATTTTTTTTTTCTTATTCTCTTTGTTTCATTAAAATTTGTTGTTGTTTCTCTTTGTTGCTACGATTCAGAAATTTTATTTTACCTTCGTTATACTAAATAAATAAAATGTTTGATGCAATCTAAAGCTGAAACCGGATTTCATTACGCTCTGCACGTATTCGACGAACACATAATACTTTTTTATCGTTTATTTTCTCCTCTTTTATTTTGTTCTGGAACGAAAACGAGAAAAAAGAATTGCTTTCTTCCAGCACCCATTCAGGGTTCAGAGGGAGTTGATTTCGTTTTGTTTTATTTTAGTAGATTTTGTCGTGGTTTTTATTGCTGTTATTATTATATATTTGTATTTAGAAACCGGTATGTGTAAATAAAATGGCTAAAATGAGATGAATACCCAGAATGAAGCAACTTACAAAAATTGTGCGCAATGTACTCCTACTTCGCAACTTGTTGTTCGATATTTAGTTTGTGTACATTCAATATTATGCATAAGGATCAGTAGCGGCTGTATTTACACTAAAAATTGACGATCACCACAATGTTTTGCAACACAGGCGGCTATAAATACTAAGCCATAAAATTACTCACAAAAACTCTGCACTAACTATGTAATTTTTCTGTACATTGTAAATAAATTGAACGGTTGAGCGACTTTCTTATAGAATTTTTTTTTGTTAATTTCTACCATCTGAAGCCATGTGGAAAATGTACAGAATTTATTCTGAGCGAATTGCAATTATTCGGTTTTTATAAGTGGAAAACCACACATCGTATTTATATCCGTAACACATATAAAATTCATTGAAACAAAACAATTTATGCAATTTTTACGCAACAATAGGCAAACTGGCTATTTTAGGTTGTGGTGTTTTTCTTTCTTCTGAATTTTCAATTACTTGGTAGAAAGAACATTGCTTATTAGTATTATTAGTTAGTATATCCAAAAGCGATGAAATATTGTTTCTAGTTTTTAGTATTTGGGTTTCATGACGACGTGTACCGCCGTGTATTTTCAGTGCCGGTTTCTTGTTTATCTAAAAATATTGAGTCGTTGAAGAATACGAAATATAAAGTGAGAGTTAACATTAAGACCAAATAAGAGAAACACGCAGATTATATTGAAATGCTGTCAAACTACATCGCGATTAATAAATAAAACCTTTATATATTTTATTGTGTATGTGTGTTTGTTATTTTTTTTAGGCAAGTCGCTTATCACCATTTGTTTGCAACTATAAAAATATTTAAAACTATCATTTTGCGTCTCATTTGACTGAATTGACATTTCACTGGATCTAGAAAGATTTTATTAAATCATACAGACTTGAATCTTAGTAAACATGGCTTATTTTTGTAATGACGAAATTCTACGCAGTAATATTCTATAAACAATAAACATTTTGGAGTGATATGAATACGTAAACACTTCAATCGATGATTGCATTGCAAAGTGAAAAATCACACGAGAAGAAGAAGAATCAATTAAAATGTTATCGGTTTCTGATAAAAATAGCTATGATTGCACTTCTAGATATTTTCTGCGAGTAGGTTTTTTGAAAAAATATTCGTATGTTTTATTTTGGAGATTTTTAAATAGATCGAAACGTAGGAAATTTTAAAATTGAAAATATGAAAATCAAAAACAATGAGTTTGATAGTCATATATTGTGATGGCGACGGTGACAAAAATAATCGCAAAAAAAGAACTTGACTACTAACCTTAACTGTTTTTTTGTATGAATTCAACTGATCTTCTGCTGGTCCACGAGACATTGTTATGTAGCGAACGTAATTACGCAAAAACCAAAAGAAAATTTCACAAATTTGTTAGACCAAATAGAAAATAACGAAAAACGGGCAAATCTTTATAAAAACAACTGCCGGGCCTGTTCAGAAAGCTTCTACACAGCACAAAAGTTGAATCAATAAAACAACATTCGAACTCGACGTATTCGACTTTTATACCACCGTGTTTCCCTTTATGTTCCGTTCTTCGTGCAATCCACTTAGTTTCTATCTTATATTGGTTTAATCTTTTGACAGCTGTACTTGTTGTGTATTTGACTACATCGTTTTTGCCCGTAGTAGCAATCGTTTTATGTTTACAAGAGGTACGAAGTCGATACATACAAACATCTACACTCACATGCATAAGCACGCGCTTATGTCAAACTAGAGCCAATGTTCACGCTCGCGCTTAATGTGAAAAATGCATTTTTATTTTATTTTTTCTAATATATATATATATATATATATATTCGATAGATGTTATCGTGTCTGTCATTTTGACAAATTCATAATTGATTTTTAGCTATTATTCTATTGATAACTTGCTTATTGCCAATTTAACCCAAGAAAAATATCAGTAATTCTTTTGAAATTAAGAATGATACAATGATATATTTTTTTTTCTTCGATTGTTTTCATTTGGGAAAATAACATATTTTTGAGTTGATAACAATCAATAAACAATCATTTTGCCTACAAAATCCAAACGATGACCTATGGCTTATCAGGTGTTTGAGTCGACTTCATTTTGGTGGATGAAACATCGGAATTCGCCGTTGAATTGATTTCATTGACATCTAATCGAATATTCATAGGTTTATCGTATCCCATGAAACGAGCGTAGTGATGAGTGTCGTTAAAACTTGCAGCATCCACAAATACCGGTATTTTTTTGGGTCCAATTTTCATAGATGTAAACATTGTTTCAACTTCTGGTAAATGAATCTCCTTCACATTGAATTTTGTCTATGGAAATAAAAAATCATCATAACAACAAATTTTATCTATTCAATAACATTCATAATTTTGACGAGTCAAAGATCTTACTTCATTTCTGAACAAGAAGAATGAAATGGTTACGCAAGTGTATTCATCGGTTTTCTCATTGTATTTGATGTCAATGACATACTTTTTGGTAACAAAGTGCAATAGCAAAGGGGTTACAAATGTAAAAATTCCAGCCACCGAACACATCAGTACACTAAGACCAGCGCCGCCAACTTCCAAGCCTTTGTGCCATAATATTGGCTGGGCCACCAAGCCCATAGCACTTGTTGTTAATGAAAACATTTTAACACGAAGTATTTGGTTTGTGTATTTGCCTTGGTAGATAGACACCTCATCTGGGTTACTATCATCTGTGTAAAATGGTTTAGACTTTACTTTATGCACATTGCTGATCTGCTCGGGTCTATTACTATGCATAAATCTTTGCACATGTTGACCAATTCCCATTTGAAGAGTTTTTTTAAATAGCTTAGATTCCGATGCATTGAACTGATGACTGGAATGGGTTACATTTGATGCTATGGATGAATAACACCGAAATTTTCTGAAGCTAGTATTTATTGTGGCGAAAAATTTGAATAGCGACAAATTATTTGATTTGTATAAAATTAGCATTTTTATTAATTATCAATCATCACTCGGAAAAAATAATGTTAGGTTCAATTTATTCGTCTTAGTATTTGGATAACTTCAGCAAGCATTGCCGAAAAAGAAACAAAACCTCAAATGTCAGTACAAACGTCAAACTTATATGCGTTCCAGAAATGTCGCCTATTTTACTTCGAATTTCGAAATATAGATCGCACTCTCGAGTTCAATTTTCGAATACACATGTGTCAGTTAGAATATAAATGGGAATAGAGATCGGTTCTTGGAAGAACAAAACATGGAAAAATGGTTTTTTTTCCAAACGCATCATGAATTCCCATTCAACATGAACGTAAAATGATTCGCAGTTACCGAATTATTCTTATAATACGATTCAGTAGCATGAATGCATTTTCCAGTTTGAGAATGTTGTTCAAACCAATCTACTGATTAATGCCGGCTTGTGCTTAGGTAGACAATAAAAGTATATATATACACTCTTGGACAAAATTGAGAAGACAACCTCGAAAAAAATTTACCAATGATTATTTCATGAACGTAATTAGTTTTTATTATTCAATCATTTGTTCTATTTATTGCAAAATATTGTGAACTAAAAGAATCTAGAGGAATTTTAGTGAATATTTTTGAATTTCGTGATTTTTTCTCAAAAATGTAAACCGATGTCAAATTAGCATTGGACAAAATTGTGAGGACAGTTCGTTACATATTTATATAAATGGACCAATTTCCATGACAATTGAAAACTAGAGACACAGCTTCATGTACAGGCTCGCGAAGATTTGAAATACTGCATATGGCTTGCTCCACCGAACCGTTGTTTGAGAAATGGAGGCGGTCAAACTTTTTTTATCATATTTTACTTCTGTCATCTTCAACACATACGAATATTTCTTGAACCAAGAAAGATATTGAAGCATAGTAGACGGCATTTGAAGGATTGAAATTAGACCAACAAAATGCAATAATAACCGACCAAATATTCCAAGTACTTCAAGAGATACAGCCGTGGAAGTATGACAGCTGCTATCGAAATGACACCAAATATTTGACATTTGAGGTTAGAACTCAGAAATTGTAAATTATTTTTACTTCATCTTGATCAAATTTACTCTACCTATCAAGAGCTACAATTTTGTTGAACATGTCAATCCCAAAAATGAACTCCCTTAAAAGATGAAGACTGAAGAATTACATCGTTGATTCTTTTCAGCATATTCGTATAGGGCAAGGTGTTGTTTTTTGGGAACAACTAATTAAACAACTTTTTTTCTGTCATCAAGAGCTACAACTTTGCTGAATACTTCATGACTGAAAAACAACACCTTGTTGGTCGAAAATCCTTTAATACTAAATTGCCCTTATACGAATATGCTGAAAAGAATCAACGACGTAATTCTTCAGTCTTCATCTTTTAAGGGAGTTCATTTTTGGGATTGACATGTTCAACAAAATTGTAGCTCTTGATAAGTAGAGTAAATTTGATCAAGACATGAAGTAAAAATAATTTACAATTTCTGAGTTCTAACCTCAAATGTCAAATATTTGGTGTCATTTCGATAGAAGCTGTCATACTTCCACGGCTGTATCTCTTGAAGTACTTGGAATATTTGGTCGGTTATTATTGCATTTTGTTGGTCTAATTTCAATCTTTCAAATGCCGTCTACTATGCTTCAATATCTTTCTTGGTTCAAAAAATTTTCGTATGTGTTGAAGATGACAGAAGTAAAATATTATAAAAACAAGTTTGACCGCCTCCATTTCTCAAACAACGGTTCGGTGGAGCAAGCCATATGCAGTATTTCAAATCTTCGCGAGCCTGTACATGAAGCTGTGTCTCTAGTTTTCAATTGTCATGGAAGTTGGTCCATTTATATAAATATGTAACGAACTGTCCTCTCAATTTTGTCCAATGCTAATTTGACAACGGTTTACATTTTTGAGAAAAAATCACGAAATTCAAAAATATTCACTAAAATTCCTCTAGATTCTTTTAGTTCACAATATTTTGCAATAAATAGAACAAATGTTTGAATAATAAAAACTAATTACGTTCATGAAATAATCATTGGTAAATTTTTTTCGAGGTTGTACTCTCAATTTTGTCCAAGAGTGTATATATTATTATTTATCTCACCGTCTAATCACAGACTGAATAATACCATACAATTCTTTTATATATATATACTTACACACACATTATTTATCCTTTTGATGTTCCATATTACACGCTACATCGTTTTAACTTTGTATGACATAAGAGTCTATGTTAGCGTTAAATGTTGGTTTGTAAATTTAAAAAAAAAAAACCAAAATGATAGTTAAAATGCAAATCATTTCAGCTTTCAAATGACACCTCAACAAAATGGATCGAACGATTTTTTTCGAAATCTCTTTGATTTTAATTCCAAATTAGAGCTAAAAAGTAAAGAATGTTTTCACCAAGGGACGAATTACTACTGAAAAATTGAATTCAGTTCTTTTCAGTACTTTTCAGTTGTTTTCAGTGGATTTCAATGCTTTCAGTCTTTTCAGTAGTGATTTGCCCCCAACAAGATGGAAAAGCTGTTCAATAAAAAGCATGAAGCTAAAAAACGTGAATTCAACATTGATGACAGCGTCTTTGTTATGATTCACAAAGGAAATTCATGACATTGGGAAGAATGATGGATCATTGACAAGACTGGATTCGTCAACTACTCCGTTGCAACAATAGATCGTGTAGTTCCTGATCATCCTAATCAAATTAAACCTCGCTTTCCCGACGGCGAAGAAGTAGATGCAGATCCATTAGCTTTATTTTCCTTATTTGAAATTGAATCACAATGTTAATCATTTTTCTTTAAAGGACGGAATATGTAGAAGCCTTTGAATAGTATATTCAGAATATGTTGTCACTGAAATATAATAAAAAGTTAGTCTTAGAACCACATCCAAACTCTCCATACCTAATACAACCCTAGGCTTTAGTACTGACTTGTATTATGCATAGCGATAATCACACTCATTTGATGAGTAGGCCACAGCACCGAATGCAAAGATAAGATGAAGCAAAGCGAAAAAGAAGCACGTATACGTGTACAAAAATGTTTCGAAACACAAATGGTTGATATAGGACGCATTCACTCCGTCATTATTGAGACATTATGTATGCACGCTTCACTTAAAGGTGGCAAAGGGACAAAATTTGTTCGTCCGTCCTTTTATTGATTTGGGACAAACGTAAATTTGTCCTAATTCTTTGTTTTCATCAGTTAAATGAAGTTATATAAGTTATTTTAAAAATTTGTCCGTTTCTCCTAATTTGAAATGGGACATTAGGACAAATTTTCGTCCTCTGTCCGTCCGTTTACCACCTTTAGCTTCGGTTTTTGCTTCATTTCTGCTACATGAATGCTTAGCCTCCAGTCGGACTTCCTGAAAACCTGAAGAAATTCAAAATTTATGGGAAATAATAGACTATATAAGGGCAGCTTTTAACTTCGGGATTTGATCACGGGAAATTTCGTCTGACAGTTTACAGACACCAGAGTTTATTTCAAAGGGTTAGACACAAATTCATACTCAACAAACACTCGGCGATACTATAGTTCTATAGAATCTACTCGATGCCATTTGGTTCAGTGTAATGTGTAGTATACACAGAGAACTGTCAAAGTCAACTGAGTGTTTTGAGTAGTTTCGAGTTTACATTTAAAATGTATAGATGTACTCGGAACTACTCGGTGCAAAATGAAACAAATTCGTCAGAACTTGTACGTTAGAAAACTGTGTCTATCCCCTTGGTTTATTTTGAGCTGAATTCATCAAATAAGTTCATGCGATGGATTTATTAGATAAATCTCACGCGTCGCTGTATAAGCGCAACGCGTTCAGAACACACTCAACGCACGTTTGAACAAGCACCAACATAAGCTATTCCGAAAAAACAGAGTTTTGAAATTTACCTGAATTGAAACTAAATAGCTTTTTGTGGAGACTAAGCGTTTTTTTTTTTTCGTGAACCGAATTCCGAAATGAACTGCATTTATAAATTGTACAATTAATATAATACAATTTTCTTTATTGCGAAGGAAACTCTATTATAAATATTTTATGATTAAAGGGTTGAGAATAAGCATTTATTTAATTTGTTGTTGTTGCTGTTGTTATTTTTTTTTTTTCGTATTCATTTAACAATTCCGTTGATGGAATCAAAATTAAATATTTTAAGATTTTTCTTGAAGAACAAATTATTTGACAGAGGGAGCGAATTGACACACATTTTGAACAACAAAATTATCCAACATTTTTTGTAACAATAACATCAATTTGTTTATATTCTTGTTCGTAAGACGTAGACAGACGTTCTGTACGTATTCGCTTTCCTCGCTCATAATATATATTTTGTCTTAAATCTTTTACTTTTTGTTGTTGTTGATTTTAAAAAGGTAAAAACTTTATAAAGAATATTTTATGTATTCCATTATAATTATTAAACAGCCAGAGAAACTCTAAAAAATGTTAACTTATTTCAAGTGTATTTTTAGTTCTTTTCCCATTTTAGTTTTTTTCTTTGTTTCAATGAATTATAGCGTTTTGATTTCATTTTGGATATTTTTTTTTCTTTTCTTGTCGTCATTTTTGTTGTTGTTGGATGTGTTTGTTATGTTTATAGTTGACAGAAGAGAAGAAAAACTGAAAATGTTTTCCCCTATTATTTGTTTCAAACATAAAACTTAATCGACGATATGCACTTTTTTGACAAATTTGGCTCATCAACAAAAAATAGGCAAGAATTTGTTTCGTATTTGCAATTTTAATTTTGATAGTTAAATCGAGATCAATCTAAAATTGGAGTCGTTAATAGGAAAAGAAGAAAATCAATCCTAATTTCTTGCTCTACTTCCTTTTGTTTTAGTTTTTTTTTTTTTTGGTCTGTGCATACATCGATTTTAATTGTCAATAATTTAGATGTTACTTTCAAGTAAGTTTTGTTGTGGTTTATTGTTTTTCTTAGTTTGCATGTAAATGTTGATGTCTCTGTTAATCCATTTAATACATAGTATCTTGACATTAATAAAATATTATTTGTTTTAACAAATGAGTTCACCACTAGCAAGAGGGAGCGTTATGAAAAAGTGAATCGTTTACTCTCTTCATTTTATGGCTTCTGCCTATTATACAACAAATTTTTAAACGGTTTTTGGGTGTCTCTTCATTTCATACATTTAACATTACATTTACGTTTTTAAGCTTTATCATAGTTTATAACTTTGTATTTTTTTATTATTCACTTTCAATTATTTATGTGGTGTGAGATGCTCCATGAAAC